CAATGAAGTTGTTACTAATTAATTTAATTGTATAAAAGAAGCTCAAATTTGACTTGCTTGTAAAATAACTTTGTCTTGAAGTTTGATAATAAAGATTAACTTGGTAATAAGTTAATAAATTAGTTTTGACTAAATAAAACTAAATAAATAAAATATAAATATTTTATTTAAAACTTTTATCTTCTTTAAACAAATTTATTCGCTAATACCAAAATCAATTCATTGATCCCTATTCATTCTGATCCATGCAAAAACAAAAATAATTGTTATCACCAATTAAAATACGCTCTCCCAATTTAATCGGTGACAATATTAAAATTGTTTGTAATTATATATTTGTAATGAATCAATATTTATTGACATGATATCTAATAAAATTATTTGTAATTATATATTTGTAATGAATCAATATTTATTAATATGATATCTAATAAAATTGTTTGTAATTATATATTTGTAATAAATCAATATTTATTAATATGATATCTAATAAAATTATTTGTAATTATATATTTGTAATGAATCAATATTTATTGACATGATATCTAATAAAATTATTTGTAATTATATTTGTAATAAATCAATAGTTATTAATATGATATCTAATAAAATTATTTGTAATTATATATTTTGTAATTATATACTTGTAATAGATCAATAGTTTATTAATATGTAATAAATTATTATTAAATAAAAAAAGCAAATTCTACAATTTAACGATCTCATATATAATACCATAGAAAAATACCTTATTAGTAAAGCTCCTCAGATATTAATGACTACTGGATGACAGAAGTTTCAACAATAATCTACACTTGGTTTTACACTTAAAAGTAAAGCTTACTTGATAATTTTAATAGAAAAAAAACTTTCTTTAGTTAAGTGAAAGTTACTATTTAAATTCCTTCGCCTCTAGTAAAAGTCTATGTGTATTGACCTCTGCTGGATGACAAAAGTAGAAACTACATATTTTTTTTTTATTTTACATTTAACCACGAAGTTTATTTAAAAATTATTATGTAAATAATTTTTTTGCCAATTGTAAACATGACTTTACATATACAAATCTATTTTAAAATTATTTTGTTACACAGTATAATTTCAAGATCGTCACTATGGGACAAATGTGATAAAGAGAAATTCCATCATGCTTGTGTGACATAAGAAAATGATCGTCACTGTAAAAAATTCATCCTTTCAGTTGTTATGAAAAATCACATGACTACACTCTACCCTTAAACTTTTCAATTTCTCTTTTTTCAAATCATTTGCTTAAAATTATTTCACTGATGCACCTAAATTTAATTTTATTTATATACTTCTCTTCAATTTTAAATAAATGAAAACCTACAAAGTGAACATAAAATTATATATAGGGATAAGTGTATATGGAAAGTAATAGTAAATATAATGGTTCTAATGAATATCAAAAAGCCATTGATTTTTTAGAAAAAGGTTGTAAATGTGGTTGCTCTTTGAGAATTCCTAAGGAAGGATTTGCAGAATTAAGCGAATCCTTTCAAGCTCTTTCTAAAACAGAACAAGACATATTTTTAATGTCCCAACTTAAAGCAATGGATGGTGGATCAATAAGCACTAGCAGATCTAACAAAAGAACTTTCTATCACTGAGATCATAATACACTACTTTGTCAAGAAACTTATCTCAATATGTTAGGAATTGGCAGAACTTATTTTGAAAATATCAGAAATCACCTAATAAGCAATGGTCTTTTACCAAGAATTCATGGTAATATTAAAAGGATGCCTCAATGGAAAACTAAGATGGTGATTGATAAGAATGTTGCAGAAATAGTAAAGAATTTTCTAGAAAATTATGCAGAAGTCCATGGATTACCAAGTCCAGGAAGAAGTAACAATAGAATAACCCAATCAATTGTGTTCTACCAGCTGAAATGAGTTACAAATCAGTCTGCAGAGATTTTCTAGCTGGTCTGGAAGAAAACAGCAAATTGAAACCCTTAAAATATGATGTCTTCAGAAAATTATGACATCAATTGACACCAGAAATTCAAATTACGAGCCCCAGGACTGACTTGTGTGATACTTGTCAACATTTTCAAAGTGGTTTACATTACAATGCTCACCAAGAGGAAGAAGCTAAAGAATTGCTTAAAAAATTTAAAGAACATCTGTCCAAGGCCAAATTAGAAAGAAATTATTACTAAATTAGCAGAAGAGCAAAGAAAACTGGTTATCAAAATTATTTCCAAGGTAAAACACAATATTGCAGTATTGATGCTACTGCTCATTATAGTTATGATTGAGCTCAAAATGTTCATGTACCCCATTCAGATCAACAAGTAAGTAAGATTTATTACCTTAGTCCATGCAAAGTTCATTTATTTGGCATTCAAGATGAAGCAGTAAGGAAACAAATCAATTATGTTCTGGATGAAGATGAAATTATAGGTAAAGGTCCCAATAGTACACTCAGTATGATTTGATGGAATTAAGAAATTGAATAAAGGTGAAAAGCATTTAAAGATTACTTGTGATAATGCTGGTGGACAAAATAAAAATAACATAACTGTTTGGTTTTATTTATATTTGGTAATATGTGGTTATTATGAAAGTGTTGAACTAAACTTCATGGTTCCTGGACATACTAAATTTAAATGTGATGGTAGTTTTGGACTGATTAAAAAACTCTACAGAAAAACCAGAGTAGATTGTCTAGATCATGTGGTTGAGGTGGTAAAAAAGTCTAGTCCAGCTGGATTAAATAAAGCACAGTGTTATGAAGGTGGAAAAGGCTTTCAATATTTAGATATTAAAGCCATTTTGGGAATTTATTTTAAGAAATTACCAAGCATCCAGAAATATCAACATTTTCTTTTTGAAGCATCTAACCTTGGTACAGTAAAAGTTCAAGAAGTTGCTAATGGACCTTTTACTGAATTCAATTTATTGAAAACCAAGAAAGCATATATTTTTGAAGAAATCAGAGCTTTATCTATTTTAGTGTTAACACCTCCTCCTTTGGATTACAAAAGACAAGAATACCTTTATAATAATATTCGTCCATTTGTGAAAGATGAATTCAAAGATATTACTTGCCCAAGACCAATCTATGCTAGCAATGAATAAAATATTTAGAATAAAATCACCTCTATGACTTCTTACTTTCATTAAGTTTAATAAGTTTAATCTTTAACAAATATTGTTAGCTTTTTTCCACATTTAAAGTAAAAAGTACTAAAATAATTATATACTTAACATACCCTAAGGATATAAGTATATTAAAAGAATAAATAAAAAAAGGGACAATCAAGAAAATCATGACAAACATCCTAAAAGAACAACAACAAGCAAATAAAGAACTAATCAATGAAATTGAAACATTGAAAAAGCAATTATCCAATAAAGAACAAGAAATTACTGAATTAAAAAATCTAGAAGTAAGTGAACAAGAAGAAGCTGAATTTAAGCAAGAAGCAATTGACCAAATTCACCAAATATTGGTAGATATGAAAAATAGATTTCCTCATTGTAGTAAGAATATTGAACAAGATTTAAGGAAATTGATTAGCAAACCATTAAGAAATCAGTTTATGAATGTTTGTTTTCAACATAGTCTTATGCACAACTATAAATGGGAAGGTAAAGAAAATCTAGAAAAAGTAGTTGAGAGAATTATTATAGATTACTTTGAAGACACTGAGTTAGCCACTGAATT